GAAACAGACAGACATGACATTAGGTGAGTGACAAAGATACTTATGTACAGTATGTGAGTTCTGATTTACAGCGAAAACCGAGTTACTGTAGGAAGGAACTCCAATGTAAGTTGAGAACCCTCCATACTTTACTTCAATTATTGGAGTGTACAGTTCCGCTGTACAGAGTTTGGTCTGAACTAAAGTATAACAGCCAGCACAGCATTAACAAAGATAGTGGCATGTTGTATGTGTGAGTTAAAGTTGTCCTTGAAGAAAATATTTGTCTATAACTAAATATATATTTAGTTATGGACAAATATTTTCTTCAAGTAAATATACTCAATAACATTATTAAAATAAATGTCTAAAATAATAATCAGCTGAAGGTACATACATTAGGTTCATTAATAATTAAAATTAATTCAAGTTCCACATTTGGGAATTACATTTTTAAATTGTTGTTAATATTGTATTTATTGTATTTACTTCATACACATTTACTGTTTCTTTACTGCTGAGTCACTTCTCTAGCAGAGGAAACAGTAGAGAAAACCACCCACCAAAGATTATGACTGCAGTGGTCTTAACTCTGTTCTGTGTGGGGGCACTTCATCCTTACCGCAGTGTGATATGTTGGACAGATCTCAGCTGTGCTGAGTATGTGATGTTATACAGTGTGCTGTCCTGTCATGCCTTGTGACAGTCGTAGTCTCCCCCGGACACACACTCCTGCTTTCACTCTTTGTCTTTGTTTGTGTTGTCAGGCAGCCAAAAAAAAAAAAAAATAAATAAATAAATTTTGGCTGAGACTTCAGCAGCTCACCCGGAATTGCAGGGCTCTGGGACATCCGCAATGCAATTGACTATATATAGCTGTAGAGAGCGAGAGAGAGGAAAAGAGAGAGAGAGTGAGTGAGTGGGAGAGAGAGAGAGGAAGGGAGAGAGAGCTGGAGAGGCAGAAAGTAGCGGCACATTACGCAGGAAGCATAAATTAATAAAGTGATTTTTAATCAGTAAATTATCTGAAGGCTGACAGCTCTTTAACTTGGACTGCAAATACATGTGAGTAGAGCAAATGAGCAAACAGATTTACTAATGGAGTCCCGCAAATATCTGTCTGTTACATTACCATTTTGGTTTCACTGCAGGGTTTGAAGACCAAACCCATTCAGCAGTTTGCAGATTGTCTTTTGTTATCTTATAAATCTCTGCCGAGCTCTCTGTCACGTGACAAATAAATATACAACATACTAAAGCAAATGTGATGAATTCAACAGTAGATGTACGCGTTTCTTGTAAGGGAGAGAAGAAGCTCAGTGCACAATGGGGGTTCCCCCAGCAGTCTAGGCCTATAGCAGCATAAACTAAAGGATAACTCAGCCAGCCTTATGAATATGATTTAAGGTTTAAGTAAGGTTTTAAGTCCCTTAAGAGATGGTGTCAGCCTCCCGAACACACACTGGCAGATGGTTCCATTTGGCATGTCAAATCTGCTTGTCCTAAGATTCCTTCACAACCTTTCGTCCATCTTTGGTCTATTCAGGACGTCTGAACTTTCAGATGTGAAGGGTCTCTGAAGGTTGTCTTGCCACTATCTCAGTGTTTAACTCACTAACAAAGTGGAAATGTAATTATATGACTGTAGACTCCCACTTACAAGAACAGTTCAATGCTGACATTGAATATTTATTGCTTTATCTCTAAAGGTCTCTGGGGAGTAGCAGAGGAGAAGGAGAAGGAGAAGGAGAGGGCCTCAATAATGTATGATCCTCCACAACAACAGAAACTGCTGACAGCAGGGCCCACACACACACATCAAGGGCGAGCCAACACTTTGGCCACAGGCCCGCAGAGGTGTGGGCTCGATCGAACTGTTGTATTTTGAATAAATCTGCCCTCTGACACACATTCACAGGGTCGTAACTCTGCTGGTGCAGATTTTGAATAAATCTGCCCTCTGACACACATTCACAGGGTCGTAACTCTGCTGGTGCAGATTTTGAATAAATCTGCCCTCTGACACACATTCACAGGGTCGTAACTCTGCTGGTGCAGATTTTGAATAAATCTGCCCTCTGACACACATTCACAGGGTCGTAACTCTGCTGGTGCAGATTTTGAATAAATCTGCCCTCTGACACACATTCACAGGGTCGTAACTCTGCTGGTGCAGATTTTGAATAAATCTGCCCTCTGACACACATTCACAGGGTCGTAACTCTGCTGGTGCAGATTTTGAATAAATCTGCCCTCTGACACACATTCACAGGGTCGTAACTCTGCTGGTGCAGATTTTGAATAAATCTGCCCTCTGACACACATTCACAGGGTCGTAACTCTGCTGGTGCAGATTTTGAATAAATCTGCCCTCTGACACACATTCACAGGGTCGTAACTCTGCTGGTGCAGATTTTGAATAAATCTGCCCTCTGACACACATTCACAGGGTCGTAACTCTGCTGGTGCAGATTTTGAATAAATCTGCCCTCTGACACACATTCACAGGGTCGTAACTCTGCTGGTGCAGATTTTGAATAAATCTGCCCTCTGACACACATTCACAGGGTCGTAACTCTGCTGGTGCAGATTTTGAATAAATCTGCCCTCTGACACACATTCACAGGGTCGTAACTCTGCTGGTGCAGATTTTGAATAAATCTGCCCTCTGACACACATTCACAGGGTCGTAACTCTGCTGGTGCAGATTTTGAATAAATCTGCCCTCTGACACACATTCACAGGGTCGTAACTCTGCTGGTGCAGATTTTGAATAAATCTGCCCTCTGACACACATTCACAGGGTCGTAACTCTGCTGGTGCAGATTTTGAATAAATCTGCCCTCTGACACACATTCACAGGGTCGTAACTCTGCTGGTGCAGATTTTGAATAAATCTGCCCTCTGACACACATTCACAGGGTCGTAACTCTGCTGGTGCAGATTTTGAATAAATCTGCCCTCTGACACACATTCACAGGGTCGTAACTCTGCTGGTGCAGATTTTGAATAAATCTGCCCTCTGACACACATTCACAGGGTCGTAACTCTGCTGGTGCAGATTTTGAATAAATCTGCCCTCTGACACACATTCACAGGGTCGTAACTCTGCTGGTGCAGATTTTGAATAAATCTGCCCTCTGACACACATTCACAGGGTCGTAACTCTGCTGGTGCAGATTTTGAATAAATCTGCCCTCTGACACACATTCACAGGGTCGTAACTCTGCTGGTGCAGATTTTGAATAAATCTGCCCTCTGACACACATTCACAGGGTCGTAACTCTGCTGGTGCAGATTTTGAATAAATCTGCCCTCTGACACACATTCACAGGGTCGTAACTCTGCTGGTGCAGATTTTGAATAAATCTGCCCTCTGACACACATTCACAGGGTCGTAACTCTGCTGGTGCAGATTTTGAATAAATCTGCCCTCTGACACACATTCACAGGGTCGTAACTCTGCTGGTGCAGATTTTGAATAAATCTGCCCTCTGACACACATTCACAGGGTCGTAACTCTGCTGGTGCAGATTTTGAATAAATCTGCCCTCTGACACACATTCACAGGGTCGTAACTCTGCTGGTGCAGAATATCAGTGATTCTGATGCTGGAGAACGAGCTCACATCGGGCTGAGGAGCATTGTTTTTACTGCATTGTCTGGTTTTAAATATTAAAACATATTGGTCTTTAGTGCCGCACTGAGCCGACCTGCACATTCCTGTAGCAGATGTAGTCATGGCAGGTCAGCAAAGGTTTTCAGCCTGCGAGAAGTTACTCTTTAAGTGTATTGATTTACAATTACAGATATTAAGTTGTTGTGTATGGCACGGCCTTTCATTGGAATGATGTCTCAAGGAAATTAGTTTGGATGGCTTCACTTCCAAAGATCGATATAAACACATTACCTTATTTGTTTAATCAGAGCAAAACAAATTGGGTAAAAACAAGAGATTAATTTTCAGTGGCACTGGCTGTTCCTGCTCAGTGGAGCAGCTCAGCTTTTGTATTTCTACTGTTTATCTATCTTCCATGCAACAAAATATCATTTTTTTGTCTGCTTTGTATAACTTACGACATATTTTATATACGTAAATCATATCTATTATCGACTGACAATTAGGGGGGGGGGTTGCGGTTTTGGCCTTGTTGTTTCGTCTAACATTTCTTTTTCCTGCAGTCTAGTCTGCATCCACTCATCAGCAGATTTAGAACAGTATCAGACCTACCGTCCTCCCACTGCCTTTCTGACATCTGTATTTATCACCTGTTGAAGCTGATGTTTTTGCCACTGTGCTTATTTTCTCTCTCTCTCTCTCTCTCTCTCTCACACACACACACCCACACACACACCCACACACACACAATAAACAAGCTCAGGCACTGATGAAGCTCTTATTGGAGACATTTTGGTTGTTGGGGGGCTAACGTAAGCAAACGAGAGGCTAAGATAAGTCAATAGGTACAAGAAGCAAACAGTCTGCAGCTGCAACAATGCAGGTAATGACTATTATTGTAGGAAGTAAATTCTGTAACGTTGGATTGACCCATCTGTAGGACCCATTTGACCACTGTGACAGAAATGTAAATAATTAAGTTGGTGCACTGGTCCCACCCTGACATATTTTCTAAAGCCCGTCCTGACACAGCAGGATTCACACACTGCTGCACTGAGGACCACACTTCAGCAGTGGGTTGCGCCTCCAGCAGTGTTTAAGCCCCACCCACTGCAGCAGCCAATGCTACTTCTGACTAATGGGACCACAACCACACCTGTTTCCTATTGTTAACAATACATCACAAGCTTCCAGGGGTGGATTATCACAAATACACAGCTAATCTACTTATTAAAGCCACAAAACTACTCCAAAGAACAGACCATTTAACAGCCCTGTTTGTGGCAGAATGTTCTTGTCGAGGAAATAAAAAGAAATGACTCAGTTAAAAGGACAGCTGGTCTTGAGTCCTTTAGTTTCTCAAACTGTATGACCGCGTTTCTTGTAAGGGAGAGAAGAAGCTCAGTGCACAATGGGGGTTCCCCCAGCAGTCTAGGCCTATAGCAGCATAAACTAAAGGATAACTCAGCCAGCCTTATGAATATGATTTAAGGTTTAAGTAAGGTTTTAAGTCCCTTAAGAGATGGTGTCAGCCTCCCGAACACACACTGGCAGATGGTTCCATTTGGCATGTCAAATCTGCTTGTCCTAAGATTCCTTCACAACCTTTCGTCCATCTTTGGTCTATTCAGGACGTCTGAACTTTCAGATGTGAAGGGTCTCTGAAGGTTGTCTTGCCACTATCTCAGTGTTTAACTCACTAACAAAGTGGAAATGTAATTATATGACTGTAGACTCCCACTTACAAGAACAGTTCAATGCTGACATTGAATATTTATTGCTTTATCTCTAAAGGTCTCTGGGGAGTAGCAGAGGAGAAGGAGAAGGAGAAGGAGAGGGCCTCAATAATGTATGATCCTCCACAACAACAGAAACTGCTGACAGCAGGGCCCACACACACACATCAAGGGCGAGCCAACACTTTGGCCACAGGCCCGCAGAGGTGTGGGCTCGATCGAACTGTTGTATTTTGAATAAATCTGCCCTCTGACACACATTCACAGGGTCGTAACTCTGCTGGTGCAGAATATCAGTGATTCTGATGCTGGAGAACGAGCTCACATCGGGCTGAGGAGCATTGTTTTTACTGCATTGTCTGGTTTTAAATATTAAAACATATTGGTCTTTAGTGCCGCACTGAGCCGACCTGCACATTCCTGTAGCAGATGTAGTCATGGCAGGTCAGCAAAGGTTTTCAGCCTGCGAGAAGTTACTCTTTAAGTGTATTGATTTACAATTACAGATATTAAGTTGTTGTGTATGGCACGGCCTTTCATTGGAATGATGTCTCAAGGAAATTAGTTTGGATGGCTTCACTTCCAAAGATCGATATAAACACATTACCTTATTTGTTTAATCAGAGCAAAACAAATTGGGTAAAAACAAGAGATTAATTTTCAGTGGCACTGGCTGTTCCTGCTCAGTGGAGCAGCTCAGCTTTTGTATTTCTACTGTTTATCTATCTTCCATGCAACAAAATATCATTTTTTTGTCTGCTTTGTATAACTTACGACATATTTTATATACGTAAATCATATCTATTATCGACTGACAATTAGGGGGGGGGGTTGCGGTTTTGGCCTTGTTGTTTCGTCTAACATTTCTTTTTCCTGCAGTCTAGTCTGCATCCACTCATCAGCAGATTTAGAACAGTATCAGACCTACCGTCCTCCCACTGCCTTTCTGACATCTGTATTTATCACCTGTTGAAGCTGATGTTTTTGCCACTGTGCTTATTTTCTCTCTCTCTCTCTCTCTCTCTCTCACACACACACACCCACACACACACCCACACACACACAATAAACAAGCTCAGGCACTGATGAAGCTCTTATTGGAGACATTTTGGTTGTTGGGGGGCTAACGTAAGCAAACGAGAGGCTAAGATAAGTCAATAGGTACAAGAAGCAAACAGTCTGCAGCTGCAACAATGCAGGTAATGACTATTATTGTAGGAAGTAAATTCTGTAACGTTGGATTGACCCATCTGTAGGACCCATTTGACCACTGTGACAGAAATGTAAATAATTAAGTCGGTGCACTGGTCCCACCCTGACATATTTTCTAAAGCCCGTCCTGACACAGCAGGATTCACACACTGCTGCACTGAGGACCACACTTCAGCAGTGGGTTGCGCCTCCAGCAGTGTTTAAGCCCCACCCACTGCAGCAGCCAATGCTACTTCTGACTAATGGGACCACAACCACACCTGTTTCCTATTGTTAACAATACATCACAAGCTTCCAGGGGTGGATTATCACAAATACACAGCTAATCTACTTATTAAAGCCACAAAACTACTCCAAAGAACAGACCATTTAACAGCCCTGTTTGTGGCAGAATGTTCTTGTCGAGGAAATAAAAAGAAATGACTCAGTTAAAAGGACAGCTGGTCTTGAGTCCTTTAGTTTCTCAAACTGTATGACTCTAATTCACATGTTTAATACACCCTCATTTGGGCCAGATGATGTGGGATGATGTGCAACATGAACAACATGACGCAGAGAGGTACCCAGGGCACCAGGTGAGCCGAGTGAGAAAAAAGAACAAGAAATGGTGAGTGAATGAAACTCATCAACCCAACAGAAACAGACAAACCTGACTTAACACTTTTACAACATGTATAGGTTTTTAAAATGGAGTCAACCTGCTTTTGGCCAAAGATGAAAATTAGAGAATATCATTTTCTTATTTATTTAAAAAACTGACTGACTCCATAGCACAGTATTTCTGTACCAACTGTCTTTTGAAAGCTTATGTGTTTTTATCACTTTTCCCAGTATTTCATAAATATCCTCTGTAGTTTTGTTTTGTTTTTGCATGGAGGAAACACACAGGCAGTGATTTTTGGTTAATACATGTCTTTATTTGGCTTTGAGAGGAAGCCACAGTCACAGTTGTACAGCACTCTGGAAAGTGTCACTCCTCAGCTTTCCCAAAAACAAGTGAGATGCAGGTGAACAAGTGTTTTATTTTAACTTCAGTCATGTTAAGGCAAGTGTTTTACTATTATTTTTATTATTATTTTATTATTCTTTTAAATGCTGGGCAAGCAAAAACTCTACCTCATCCAAAAATAGTCCATGAGTCAGGCCATGCATTCATGCCTGATGGTTGATTCATTTGTCAAAAACAGACAAAAGATGACGAAGTGTAACGTGACAGTACAGAAGGGGGAAATGGTACAGGGAGATATAGTGAAAGTAGCCCTTAAATGTGCCCTTAACACTAGGACACTGGCAGCATCACCTGTCACCTGCAGCCTGAGCTGAGGACTCTCAGTGTCACCTTCTGCTGCCTGACACTCACAGCCATCACCTTCTTGCTCACTTTACAGCTAAACTGAACACAAGTTTGTATAAGGATGAAGAACAAAAGGATAGAAATAATAAGCACTGGATTTGTATTTTAAGAAAAAAAATTACATGGGAGAAACAATTCTTGACAAATGAATCAATCAAAAGATCAGAGGGTTGGATACTCCACTGTGTATACTCCAAAATAAATATATAGCATCACTTTAAACTCTAAACATTTTATCACCACCTCTCCACCTTCTCGTCCTCTGTTTTTCAAGCAAATGAAAGAAAAGCACCCACCCTCCCAGCACACTTCTACAGTATTTACAGAATTGTCTGAGCTCTGAGTAGCCTTCATCGCAGGGCTGCGGTGAAATGAGAAGACAGAAACAAGAGGAGTGAAGGGTCGGTGGTACATTTCAGGTACCCCACATCAGGTTGTGGGGAAGAAAATGCAAAGCGGTGGAAGAAAGCACTCGCCTACTGTGTACAGTAACACACATTTCAAACACGAACAAACGTTCAAAACAAAAAAGCTGATCGACCATGTATTGATTTGGGAATAAAACCTCCACTTTACAGTACTCCCCAACTTTTATTGTATGTAAAAATTAAATAGCACCGTAAAAGTTGGAATTGGTCAATCTTTCATCATGCTCCAAAATCTGTGCATTTGTCTAATAAGTGTTAGTCTAATTAGTGTGTGTGCTGACAAAAATTGTTACTTTCAACCAGGTATTGATTGCTTTTGCGGTGATTATTAATCAAAACATGGCACATTTGCTGCGGCTCACATTCAGTTTGAAACACTAGTGAAACTCTGTGGCATCATGCTGGCTTACAAGACGTCTTTCCACACCCGTGGTGAAAAGTTGTGGCAGAGTGTGAAGACGGTGTGTAATGGTTTTCTGAGTTTTAATGTAACGTTATAGTATTAGCTCCCTCTAGAACACCTGCTTTGTTGGATAAGTGTCAGAGAAATCTGCTACTGAGTAAACAGGTGTGTGTGTGTGTGTGAGAGAGAGAGAGAGAGAGGGAGAGAGACATTTGTTGTCCTCTTAGACACTGACTGCAAAGAGGTGCATCACAGTACATTAACTAGCATTACCACAAGAGGGCAAAGTCTTGCTTGATATTTTGCGAGGACACGTTTATGTTTACAACCTTACATGCTGAGGTTGTGAGGACATTTCATCAGGTCTCCAGGTTAAGATGGATATGGTTATGTTATGATATAGTTTTAAATGTTAAATTTTAGATTTTAGATTAAGAGTTAGAATTAGATAAGAATAGACTTTAGGGTTAAGTATTTGTTCAAGCCAATAATCTTGAGAACCACATACACAGAGCTAAACAGTAACTTTGTTAATGTTTTGTGATGAATGGTTGGTCTCCAATAGTCTATGTACTGTATATCCCATCATATGTCTGGTAAATCCTACTGTCTGTGGCCAAGATTTAGTCAGAATGGGATACATAAACACTGAATGGTCACTAATGGTCTGGCATTTATCACTGTTTGATGTAAGAGAAAAAAAAATTGAATCTATTTTACTGAGGACATATATTGACATATTGAAAAGGTCATGTAGTAGATCCTCACAGCTAAATGTTAATGTTAAGGGACAATGTTGTGGTTCCGTCATCAGAGTTCTAATTACTTTTGTGTAAGAGTATGGGTTTGAGGAAGGGTCTGTTTGATGTGTTGTGTGTTATGAAAGTGAAAGAGCAGGGTGTGTATTTTTTAACCGTAACGATATCCATTACACGTGATGGGTGTTATGTGGACTTATTTGCTGATGAGGATGAGGATGAAGATATCTAAACAAGCACTTTAGCTCTTGCTGTTCTTGCCAATGGGGCTCTTTTTCTCCTTTTCCTTTTCTTTTTCCTCTCCCTTCACCTTCTTCTCCTCCTCCTCAGCCTCTCCCTCCTCTTCTCTTTCTTCACCTTCCTCCTGATCTTCTCCCTCTTCTCCATCTTTTCCATCCTCTTCCTCTCCTTCTTCTCCCACCTCTCCTTCTTCCTCCTCCTTCTCATCCTCTTCCTCCTCTTCTGGCTCCTCCTCCTCTACCTCAGGTTTGGCACCGGACTTCCTCAGTGCACCAAGGGTGTAGCTTTGAGCAGAGATGTAGGAGAAGCCTGGATATCCTGACTGGATCATGGCTCCACTTACAGCACTGAGGCGGCATTCTTCACCTTCCAGCAACTTCCTGTTTACATGCAATAAAATAGGAAAGAAGCAGAAGAAGAGTCACATTTATCATTGGAAAGATATTTTAAGATTAAAATATTTTTTATGTATTCATTGCTACATACAGTATGTCACAAAAAAGAGTACACCCCTCACATTTCTGCAGAGATTTCATTATAATGTTTAATAGAACAACACTGAAGAAACATCGCTTTGACACAATGAAAAGTAGTCTGTGTAAAGCTTATATAGCAGTGTAAATTTATTTTTCCCTTCAAAAAAACTCAAAATATAGCCATTAATAGCTAAACCCCTGGCAACAAAAGTGAGTACACCCCAAAGACACTACACCCCTAAATGTCCAAACAAAGCACTGCTTGTCATTTTCCCTCCAAAATACCATGTGACTCGTTACTCTTACTAGGTCTCAGGTGTGAATAGGGAGCAGGTGTGTTCAATTTGTAGTACAGCTCTCACACTCTGTCATACTGGTCACTGAAACTCCCAAGATGGCACACCATGGCAAGGAACTCTCTGGGGACCTTAAAAAAAAAGAATTGTGGCACTACATAAGGCTGGCCAAGGCTAC